ATTTGTCTATTTCTTTTATTATACAGATGTCTCTAGAATATATTGTCTCTCCAAATCAATGGTTCTCTACCACTATTTGTCAATATCCAAGTCGGGAATATCTCCAAGATTTTATTGAATTTATAGATACAAATCAACAGGCTTCTGTTATGTGTAGCAATTTCTATGATTTTTTTACATGAGTTATTTATAGGGAATGAGAGGAACAATTTAGTAGTAGGTTGATACATGAATTTGTGATGAGGCTTGTACATTGTGGTAAAAATAACAAAGTGTGGGTACGGTTAGGTGATCATGTTGTAGGTTTAGCATGTAAGAATATTGTCTCATCACTAGATTACCATGTCATGAACCATCTGTGGATATTAGTTATAATAACTATCGTTTTATAAATTAATATTTCAATGGTATGAGAAGAATTAATATGAAAATGTTGCATGAAGCGTTCCATTCATGTGAAGACTACATAGATAAATTTAAGCTGTGGTTAATTATGTTTGTGGAGTGTGTTTTGAAACCAACTTGCAGAATTATTGATTATAAGAATCTTGGTATGGTTAAGCATCTCGATAACTTTCTTGCTTATCCATGGGGTCGAAATGCATATTTTGTTTTGTTAAATTCTTTGCAAGAATCACAAGCTGAAAGAGTGCAAAGAGCAAAACAAAATCAAACAGATTGCAAACATGCATTAAGAGGATATCTACTTGCATTCCAGGTAAATTTTTTCGATTCTTTTATTGTTATATATATTATGCATAACTTATTTGTATAACAAAATATCATAATTACTTGCAGTTCTGGATATATGAAGCATTCCCAAATATTGAAAAAAAATTTGGACGCAGGAGATACAAAACATCAAAAAGTTCTTGTATGTATAAGTGGAGACCTAATGCAATATTGACTGAGAAAATAGTAAAATATTTTTTGGTTATCAAGGAGGTATAACATACTTTTTTATGAATTCACAATTACATTTTCATTTCATCATTTAAAAATTAAATTTAGTTATCATGATTATAGATTGAGGTAGTTGCAGTGTTATATCCCACTGAAGAAGAGTTAGAATTGTCATGGTATACAACCCTTTCAATGCCAGCGGATAATCAACATAGCATCTTAGATGGTATTGTCAATGAAGAATTAGACAACACAGTACAACAAATCCCAGAAAACATCTTTGTGCAAGAAACGACTATTCCCAGTAGTTCAAGAACTTCTCCTGGAGTTGGTTCTACTTCTGCTTTTGATGCTTCCAACTACATAACTCGAGAACAAATGGAAGAAATGCTGGGAATACTAGGCAACATGTAATATTAGATGTATCTGGTGTATGCCAAAGAAATATTTCACAGTCAAAACCAGTTGTTTGAACACCATAAAAAATGGCAAAAAGATTATATCCAATCCAGTATTCATTCTTACATGGATACTGTTGATATCAAAATTAGCAAGGATAATTTTGAACCAACTTTAAGAAAAAATGCGATTTATGCTTAAAAAAGATCACAAAGATGTCATTTTAGTGTGATTGTGCCATAAGTCGTTATATGAATTTCTCTGCTTTTACAAGAGTCGTATTCAACTATTTATACATAATTTCAGCCGAAATTACATCAAATCAGCAATAGTGCCAAGCTCGGACCTCGGGTCGCCAAATTCTCCTGTGATTGGTCGATGAAGCCGGTGGTCATGTGTGAATGTATTATCCAGGTAATGATGACCTGTGAGGGGCTGGAGTTTTGAGAACTTGGAATTGGTTGTTCGGACGGCGATGACATCACCTATGACAAGTGTATCTGATTGATAGAGTGATGTAACAAGGGGTAATCATGATGTTTTTCTAAGATATCGTCGGGTAACTCCGGCCTGAGGGTGTGGGCCGAACTTACGTTTAACTGAGGTGGGGTTAGCGAACTGTTTATACTAGATCGGAGTTCAGATATCAACAGATACTATTCTTGACAATCACAAACAAGTATTTCAATAGGAATTTCAACAGCAGCAAAAATGACAAGAAGATAATATTTTAGGCAATATGCAATTTTATGTGGATAACAATTCAAGTTCAATTGGATCTTATGTAGATGAACAAAACAAGAGTACATTGAGCAATGTATCAAACATAGAAGCCATTACTGGTTCTATGCAATAATATGTTGCTATCCACACATTTCAATTCCCAGCGATTTGCCAAGGCAAACATTAACATATGAACAATAGGTGAAAAGTTTTGAAGGGTTGAGAAGAGAAAATAAAGGTAAGAAAAAATAAATATTGTTTTCGTCATTAAAAAACTATCCTTTAGAAGCTTATCAAAAGAACAAGTATAACATGATTAGAGATTGGATATTGCATAATTCGTCAGGGTAACAAATTTAACTCTGTATTAGTTTAAATACTATTTTTTTATTCAGTGGATAGTAAATTATATTATCCAACATTGATTTATATTTTTTATATGGTACTTATTGGGAGGACAGCGACAATTATATTGGAAGGGACATGTTGAAAAATTCGTTGGATGTAGGAAAATATGTAACTCCCAAGGTGAGTGAAGTTTAGTAATTACAATTAATTTAATTTTATCTTTGATATTAATAAATTAAATTTACATGTATTTATTCTGTTAGAGTGTTGAGCTGGAGTTAAAGTTACAAAGGCGATTTATTAAGGATGGTTCTACCTTAATTTCTAAAGATTATGCTATAATGAATTTCAAATTTGAAGATGAGTGTTCTAGTATTTTCAACTGGCTAATAGAAGAGAAAAACAAAACCACTAAAGAAGAAGTGGACCTCATTCCGTTCAATGAATATGTGAATGATGTTTCGCCTATGAATGGTCATACTTGGATGGTGTGCAAGCTTTTACTAATTTCATGTTCATTTCCTGGCAATTGTTGATATCTTTTTGTGGTGAATATTTCTGAATGAAAATTTCAAATATATGATTGTAGTAACGGTATTCTTATACCAAATCAAGTCATGATATATGCAAAAGCAACACATGGTACAATCCAAGCATTCATTCTGAATTCTGAGCTTTTTACCAAAAAGAATGTAAGGAAACATAGAAGCAAATCAATGCAAGTGGAGATCATACCTTATCTACCATGTGCAGGCAATGGGTGAGCATTTAAAAAAATATTTATTTGTCATAATATTTAATTTTTTCTTTATATTAATGTAGTCTAACATAAAATTGTTTTTTCTATAGGCCAAACTGTAGAATGTTCTTACTAAAATATATAGAATGCTTTATTCTAGGATAACCAATAGAATTAGTTTCACCTGATAAGATGTCAATTTATAGACGGAAGATGGTAGTGGATATTTGTAGCAATAAATATTTACTTCTTCCTCCTTCTTAGTTATCATGTTAGAACAAAGGTTTGCAACAACGAATATTTTTTTCATCCTTTTCCTTAGTTATGTGGTCATGTAATGAGAATAAATGTTATATAATAAGTTTATATTGTGTTTTTTTCTATTTTGTCATATTGTTGGTGTATATATAGAAAAAAATATTAAAATTGTGGTGAAATCGTGATAAACCTAAACGAATTAACAATGTTTTAGTTTTAGTATGAATCAACATTATAATATCACAATTTTACCTGATTTCTTTCCTCATAAATTTATTGTTAAACATTCATATTTATGCTTCAAATAAGAAAGATGATGAAAAAAATTAAGCATGTTAGCAAACAAAATATAACTATAATTAAAAAAAATAAATGAAAATAGCTAACCTTATGTATTCTTCTATTGAAACATGATGTATAAATCTTCACTTTGGCAGCAACGTAATGATAGATTAATTTTGGACAATTTAGAATTCTAAACTTGTTAAATAGAATGTATTAAATTCAAAATTTCCAGATACGCCACATTTTTTGTGCAACAAATATGTGATTTATTTTCGTCTCCTGGCTTAGTCAAAACTTTTAAATTTTGTCTTGTTTTTGCTCTAGACAACGCAACGTATAGCTGACCATGTGTAAACACAGGTTCAAGCCGATATAGACTTACAAAATCTAATATTTGACTTTAGGCTTTGTTAATAGTCATAGCAAAATAAGGACGAACGGGAAATTGAATTATTTTAAAGGGTACTGAATGTTTATCTCCCTCAAGTGAAATACATGGAATTTTAGGTAAAAAATACTTATTTTCCATGATATTCATCATATCCAATTTCAACTAAAATAACATTTTGTTTAAATTCAAAACAAATAAGTCTAGCTCCATTGCACAAACCTTCCGAATGATTAATATTTCTCAACAACATAACATGACAGTTTTTTTTAGAACAAGTTCATGTAGAAGTATACCGTTTGGAGTTAAACTATTCAAAAAATCTTTATGAATAAATCCTTCCATTTTATCAATCACTTCATCAAAACTGAAATATGCAAATGTATCTCCTGAAATTTGTTTAACTAACATATTGTTTATCATATCTACATATTCATTTTTTGGAGTTAAAATAATTCTATTCATCATAGTATTTAAATTATCACTATAAGTGCGAAAATTTGGAAACACAATGCTGATCAACTTTTTCAATGATTTATTTTCATCTTCAAAATCTATGACAATATCTAAAGGAAGCTTAATTATGCGACATGTATGCTCATTTTTACTTTCGTTTCCAATTTTGAGTAAATATTCACAAAAGGAAGGATCCAATCTAGCTATCATATTTTGAATTAGTGGTAGTTGTCTAAAGTATTGTCGCAAATATGAAAATACTAAACTTTCTTTCATAATATCATCTTTTGTTCCTTTCTGTACCACTGGCAAGATTTGATGAAAATCCCCTCCACACACAATGACCTTTCCACCAAATGACAATTCACATTCAATAATATCTTTTAACATTTTATCCAAAATTTCAAAAGCATATTTATTAATCATTGGTGTTTCATCCCACACAATTAGCTTCGTCATTTTTAAAAGCTAATTAAGTGCAGATTGTTTATTTATCGAACATCACATATCAAGACTTGTTTGAAGATGAATTTTAAAACGCGAATGACCAGTTCTTCCACCATGTAATAAAGAAGCAGCTACTCCAGATGATGCTATTACCAATGCAATTAGTTGTCTACATCATACTGTAGCAAGCAATGCTTTGTACAAATAAGTTTTACCAGTACCTCCTGGACTATCGATAAAAAAAAGTCCATTTCTATCGTTGAAAATACAATCTAAAGTAGTATCATAAGCAAATTGTTGTTCTTTTTTTAAACTCTTTGTAAAATGCACGTCAGACTCAACACTAACATTTGTACTTTCTTCTAAAATCATATTTGCTAACATGTCGGCGTCATCTACAGTAATGTCGAAATCTGTGAAGCAAAAATCATTTACACTTTTACCAATAACTTCTAAGAATGAATATATACAACGTAATGCTCTAATCTTAGTATCATACTTTGTCTGACTTGTATGTAAAAAATCTTCTTTCATGTAAGTTTTAATTTAATTCATAAATTTCTAGGATTTGTAGGGATACAAAAAATCAGTACATTAGTAAAAAGTCGATGGAGTGATATAGGCATTTGATAAGAAATTGCCTCAATTAAACACATGTCAGAATAATTATTTCCACTTATTAGACCATGTAAGAATGCAGCCTAGCGATATGTAGGTGCTACAACACCATTAACTGTTTTTAAATTTTCAAAAGATTTTGGTCCTTTAATATGATTCAATAAAACTCTTAAAAAGTATCTCTCACCCTCAGATGGATTAGTAGCAACTATTCTACCAATAACATTTTACTTTTTTTAGTATTCCAAACTCACAAATATGTATGTTATACAATTCATCAGAAATATTCATTCGAAAAAATTTAGTTAACATTGTTTGTTGGATAAAGTCTTTATTTATAACTTCTGATAAATCATCAGTTTCATTATAGGTAACTAATTGAGAATTTTCAACATGTAACTGCAAAAAAATTACAGAAGGAGATATGTCAAATAAATCAAAACTAAAAATTCTTCAAACAGCTTCTGGCGCAAATATCCATCTAACAGTTTGGTAATTTGAAATTTTATCAATACAATATTCATTAGTTTCTTTATTCACAGCAAAATTAACATGGTCACGTCCTTTGTATACATATTTATATAAATATTTCACAACTTTAACAGAAGAATATATTTCTACATTAATATGACAATCATATTTAGCTGAAATATACGGATTGTATGGTACAACTCATCTATTGTCTAGTATGCATTGTCTTGCTCTAACAGTAACTCCATCATTACGACGTTTGTAAAGCGGATAAGAATCATTACTTAATTAAGTATGTAAAATATATTCTTTTGGATATTTATTTTTACAAGTATGGTTGTTTTCCATGCAAATATTTGTAGGATTTAATTGTCCACAAGGACCATGCATCGTATGTTTGATCATAGTAGCATGTAGGTAAGAATTTTTCTTTTTATCTGGTATTTCACACGAAACAATTTCATCAAGTTGCATAGAATTAAAAATCTTAAAATTTGGTTTAAATATAAGAAGAAAATGAATTGAATCCATATATCTTTTAGTTAAATTTCTAGGACCTCCAATAAACCCTGTGGGTAACACTATTGATTTACCAATCTTATAGCCTCTATTATCACCACTTTGTACACCATCTATAATTCCTTGGTAAAGTTCCGCTCTTATAATCTTTTGATTATTTTGAAAATAATCCAATCTTGCAGTTTCAATTTTAACATGCATATCTACTATATATTGTTGCAGAAGTTTGCCTGTATGAAGAATTATAAACTTATCTGAAAGCCTCACTTGAAGTTTGTAGCAATAATATTCGTGACAGGATACATTCATTCGCTTCTTCGTTTTTGTCAAAATTGAAAAGAAATATGAAGAAAAAATTTGAAAAGGAGAATATAATTACATACTCTTTTATTATGTATAAAACGATTTCACAGATGATAAAACTTACCACATTCTTCCATTTCGAAAAGTTGTTTAGCGGAGTAAATGTTATTAATTTGTGTAAAATTTTCATCCATGAGTTAAGAAATATTCAAATTGACTTTTTGGATACCTTCATGCCATCCAGGTTATCCATAGGCAAATATTAATGGATACTGTAGTGGATCATAGCAGCCATAATAGTAGTTTACTTTATGTGTAATGTTAGAATGTCCATAAATTAATATTTCACGATTTTAAAGGCTTGCAAATGGGTCTTCGTCAGCCCAAACTGCAACTACTTGTTCACACGATGACATATTATACAGTCTTTGGTCAAGACCTGGATCACACCTAAGCATAATATGACATGAACCAAAATCACAAATTTCACTTAATGATCGAAAAAACGACAATATAGATTTATCTTTAAGACATCTATCAATTTTCTCAAAGTTGTTTCACATAACCTATCAAAATTTTTTAGTCTATTAGTGATTTCATTATCCATATCATAGAAGTTTAACTGTAAATATGCTGGTTTCCCATCAGGTGGTAACAATGGATTTATAAAATGGTACACTTGTCATTGAACTCTAAATGTATATATACCTTTATTATTTCTACATAAATTTTTATCATATTTAACATCAAAAAGAAGTGAAAGCAAAAATGATTGTTATAACTACTAGCAACTTTTTTAAAAGTAATTGCCTCACATGAAGTAGAAGTAAATAGCTCAAACAATTCAAAACTATGTAACTGTAATCTAACTTTTCTATCACACCAACAAAAGCGCTTATTTTCTTTATGAAACTTTTTTGCACCACAATATTTATAAATTGTAGATGATGGAAGAATATAAGGTTTGGCCGAAATATTTCGGAGATTTATTTGTTTGGAATCAACTCTTTTAGAATTAGGTAAAATATTAGGAATCTCTGATGTTTCATTTTCATTTTCAGAGTCTTTTTCAAGACAAATACTTTCATCCTTGTATAACTTAATACAATCATCAATACAACCTAAAAACATAAAAATAAGATTGATAAAAGATAATATAAACAATTCTAAAAAGGGGGGGGGGGAACACAAGCCAAAGAAAAAAAAAAAAAAAAAAAAAAAAAAAAAAAAAAAACCAAACATGTTTCAAAGTCACGACATCTAGTTCGTCTTTCTGGTGCATAACTTGTAGTAACTTTTAGAATACCAAATATGTATGTTAAAATTATATAGAAAACAGAATGAAAAAAATGAACAAAAAATTATATTTCAACAAATAATTATACCCAAAACCCTTTTACGCAATTTGTCTTCTTTTATCATTGGCTGAAGTTGAGAATTTTGTATTAGTGTGGATGGCGTTCTTAAATGAGCACGTTTATTTTTAAACCAATTATAAATATTCTTATCACAAATTTGGCCATATTACGACAACTGAGAGACTATCTGTGCTATTTTTGATCTGTTTGGAGTTGTGTTGCCTTGATGACATATAGATTCAAGAACTTCGAGCTGGAAAAATGTAAGTGTCCATCTACCGATTATGACTATGAAAGCAAGCAAGTTATGACAACAAGCAAGTCAACTACAAAACTTAAAACAGAAAAATTATAATAAAATATGCTATACTGACAAGGAAAAAAATTATTATTATTATGCTAACTCCGAGAAATATAGATTATCCATAGCTATGCATAGATAAGCCACCGTGCTTCAAATATTTATCAAAGTATGCATATAGAAATCATGTTTCCAATTATTTATTTAAACAAACATACCCAATGAATAAAAACAAATATAATAGGGAAAATCTAAACAAAATTTGGAAAGAAGAGTTAGATTCTGTGTTTTTTCACGTTATATAACATGTATATATTAGCAAGAAATCATCTATATTTTTTTGAAGAGATTAGTTAATTTGAGATAGATGTTTTTAATTTTATTTGATTAGATGAGGTTTATGGATGGATTTGATAACCAGATTCTTGTTCTTGCACTATGTTCTCTGAAATTCATAATTGATTAGTGGGAAGTATTGTTTCGTTAAAAACTCAGGTTGGTTTTGTTTGCTACTTATAAACCTCAATCTTTTTATTATTCCCAAAAGCACATTAAAAGGAAAAAGGAAAAAGAAAAAGAAAAAAAAATGCAACCTCTCTAATGGCCTACGTGCACGGAGGTCTAAGCCTCCGGCCACATTTTTTAAAAAAAAATATTTTTGGAAATAATAAAAAGATAGTATTTTCAGTAAAAATTTGTCTATTATAACACCTGTGAATCTCTTGTCAAATCTAATTTAAAAGGGGAAGTACACTTTTTTTTAGCTTAAATACCTCCATTTTTCACCAGATTTTTTTTCCATTCAACTCATCCATACTTCAAATATTCCACATAACAAACAATAAAGTTCTCATAAAATAGATGTCTAACGTAATTTCTTAAGAATCATCACCCCTTCCCTTAATCACAATATTCGTCTGGTTAGTGCTTCTTTGACATTTTAATATACGTTTTATTACATACTTATGTTTTTATTATTTTTTATATATGTATATTTAATATAGATGCCTCCTATATCTTTCGTCAATGATTAGAGGCAATAACTTGGTGATACAATACAAATAACTGCATATGATGTCATAATTGTCTCCATCAAATTAGAAAGAGTGGATGGAAACATATACCTAGCCGATGGATGGGAACAATTTTTCGACCATCACAATTTACAGGATAATTATGTTATAGTATTCGAATATAACGATAATTCCACACTAAACATGATATATATATATATACACACACATTTGAGTTGAATTTTTTTCATCACTGCAGTATATACCAAGAAGTTCTGCTCGATAGCACTTGCCGAGATTTGTGCGCAGCATTCAGATCTATGATTCTCTGCATCACAATTGAGACATTACTACAAATTTAAGACCAAGCGGCGTAATAAGATGTCTCATCATAGGTTGAGCTGATTTTGTTATAGAAAAACAACTACAAATGGACGATAGATGTGTTTTCCAACTAATCAACAACGAAAGACCAATGTTTATGGTCTACCAAAAAGACCACACTGGAAGTTTAACACATCTATAGAACTTTCAAATTGTTGTAACTTTTCCTTTTGCTAATCCACTTTATGTTAACATGCATTATATATATCTACGGCAATTATTATAAAACCAACTCCATCAATTTCAAATTTTGGAACTTCCAAACGTCAACAAATTCATGAAAAATCTGCACGTGGAAAAAATACACAAATAATAAAAGCATGAGAAAAAATACGAATATATTTATATACAAACAAAAAAAACAAAATAGGTAATAAAAAGAAGAAAACACATTAAACTCCACATATAAAAATAAAAAGAGATATGAAAAGAGAAAACAGAAGAAGAAACATTTTTGTTAAAATATATAATAAAAACAATAAAAAAGAAAGTTATGAAAATTAAATGAAGATTAGTATAAATACAATCTAGTTAGCTGGAAACAAAATTTATATCTCTAAGATTTTTTAAGCTAATATGTAAGTAAGCACAACAATTTATTCATACAACTCTTTTTTTCTCCTTATATAGTAGGCATGCAAATATACAGCTTGTTTGTGAGTGATTTTTTGGCCCAAAAAATTGATTTTTTGACCATTATTTCACTATTTCAACCGTCATATTTGACTTCTTATCTCACGGGTGGACCCCACTTTTCTCCTAATGGTCAAAAAATCAATTCTCAAAATCACTCCCAAACAGACTCATAAAATGAAACTAAAAAAAAATTATTAAAAAGTTTTTAAATTAAATTGAAATAATTTAAAGTAAAAATAAATATAATTTAATTAAAATTGAAAAATTCGCGTTTTAAACGAAAAGAATAAAAAATTTTAAATGGGAAAAATAAATTTTCAAACAAAATTTAAAAATAATATTTTTTGACTAAAGAGATAAGATTGATAGCATTGAAAGTTGCGTGTTGTATATAAAATATATACTAAGACAAACAGGGTCGTTTTTGCTCACCCACTGGGGAGAAAAATTTAAAATGCTACAATGAGACAAATAGAATTAAATTGAAATAATTAAAACTAAAAATAAATATTATTTAATTAAAATTAAAAATTCAAGGGAAAAGAATAAAAAAAAATTAAAATCGAAAAATAAAGTTTAAAACAATTTTCAAACAAAATTTAATAAAAATGAAATAAAAGAAAGTTATGAAAATTTAAAAATATATATATAAATATTATTTATTTAGTTAAAATTGGAAAAGTAAGTTTTAAATTTAAAAAAAATACAAAAATAAGGAGTGTCTCCATGCACGGAGACCTTGTCTCCATCCGTGCACCGAGACTTCTCCGTGCATGGAGACTGTTGCAAGTCTTCATGCATGGAGAGTTAGAGAAAAATTAATTTTTTTTAATTTTTTTAAAGCTAATATATTTTTACATATAATAACTAACTACAATTATATTTTTTTTTAACTTAAAATAAAATACTGGAAACAAATTTTTAACTATAATTAAGTCTTTACATTTTTTAGAAATATACTAAGATAAGATTGGTAGCATGGAAAGTTACGTGTTGCAATAAATTTGGAGGTAGTGTATAATAAAATATATACTAAGACAAACGGCGTCGTTTTTACTCACCCACTTGAAAAAAAAATTAAAAATGCTACAGTAAGACAAAATGAATTAACTCAATATTGCTTTCTACAGTAATTTCATATTCTTCTTTTTATATAGTAGGGAAATTATAATAAACTTCCTCCAGTAAAAGAAGAATAATTGCCCCTCGGGGCATATCCCAGTGGTGCAAAGGACAAATGGGAGGTATACTCAACCTTGCTGATAGTCGTAGTGTGATGATTCGATTCCTGAAGTATGGATTGAGACTCTTTGTGGACACTAGTGTACAGGTAGCTCTTGTTTCCTGGTCTTTTAGGGCACATCCCGCGATTAACCTCTCTCACGGTACTTTAGAGATTGGGCAGTGAGGGATCCTTAAGGTTGGAGTTCAACTTTTAGAAATAATTATAGATTTTATAGTTGAGAACAAGTGGTCACGTGCATGATATCCTAACAAAGGTACCATGGACACGTGCACTTATCTTCTTAAGCTGACACATAAAAGTTTAACTGGAGGTTGTGGGGCATTGGTCATGATCAATATCGTTTAGTACATTAGAAGTAACAAGGCAAGGCAAACAATCAGTCCTAAAAAATGAACACATTATGCATAAGAAAGTAAGAAGCCAACTCATTATCTATCTTATTACCCACACACAAACAAGAGCCATCGCGGACCTCCCTAAAAAGCTCCGAAATATCATGAAGAAGCACTACATTCAGTGCAATGGGAAGCGAGCACTACCAATTGGTTCTTACTAGACAAAAAGGCTCACCAAGGATCTATCTAGGCGTATATGAGCATATTATCACTTTGGATGATCTATATTTACCAGATTGCCCCTAATAAAATTTTTCGTTTTCGAGACTTATATGATCTGGAATACATGAAATTGTGTCTTCGACTAAACTTTGAAAATTTTCCAATAATATCCATGTTAGGTCTTTGTCAACATTCCTTAATCTCTCTTTAATCTTGTTACTATAATACATTTTTTTTTTTTTTTTTGTACTAGGACTATAATTAACTTTTTTTTTTTTAAATCTCAATTTCTATTTTATCTTGGAATGAAATATTTTGTAATTAATACTTTTATTTTGTCACTTTTTCCACAACAAACAGACAACATCTCATGTCACTCTTGAGTTCTTGTTTGAATATCATGTTCGTTTTTTTTCCCCCAAAAATTATATTTTTATATTGATAAAATTGTTTGCCTAATAATGAAAGTTCATAAACATATTGGGAAGTGCAGTCTAGTTCTCGAATCAACAACATACAAAAATGTTCTCACAATCTAATTGTTAAAAACAATTTGCCATCTTAAGTAAGAATCGTTCAAAATAGGAAATTAGTATGAACAAAACTTAATTGCTTATTCTTTTAGTAAACGTATTTTTTGTTTTATCATTGTGATTAAAGCAGTGAAAGCGCCACCAATAATAGTAGGGATGGAAGCGGTCCGATTTTACCGATTTTTGATATATTTTTAAACCAAACCGTTTAAACGGGTTTGAGAAAAATCTAAACCTAGACCAAACAATTTTAAACAGTTTGAAAAAAACTCAAAACCTTAACCTAACGGTTTGGTTCGATTTTAAACCGCTGATTTTGTCATATATTTTTTTGCTTGTCTACTTTTACGCTAATTGAATTCAATATATATTTATATCTTACTAGCAATAAATCAAAAATAAACTAAATATATCTTCTATAAATTTAAATACCAACTAAATAAAAGTGAAATCACAATAAACTAAAACATAATTTTTTTTGTTCGCCATTTTTAGGCTAATGACGTTACGATAACATTATGATAAAAGTCTACTAAACTAAATATAAGGCCAAAAATATTAATGATGTCCAATAAGTCTTGATCATCATATTTGAAAAAAAAAATGTTACTGATCAGACAGAGAGAATAACCAATCACAATAATCAAGCAGTTGTTTACAATATCTAAACATAACAATTACACAAACTTACGGTTGTATGTTGTTAAGAACCCAATTTCTTGCATATACTCAAATATCAATTGTTATCACACATGATATGTCGTCTACATAGTCAAACAAATGCATTATTACATCATCATAATACTAGATACTAGATAAATAATAGAATTTTCATAAATATGATAATAGAAAATATAAATCACCTACCACAACTTTCATTAAATCATCCAATGCATTCACTTCATCTAAATATTGGCGCAACACTATAGGTTCCTTCTTAACGAATTCTTTCCGCATATACAAGCCTCAACCATCTGTGCACCTAATGATAGGGATGACAATCGGGCTCGCCAGCTCGGGCCGCCCGTAGCTCGGCTCGGGGCTCGGTAGACCTGAGCCTAAGCTCGGGCCAAACCCCATTTTGGGGACACGGGCTTTGCCCGAGCCGGCTCGTGAGCTCGCAAGCTTTAAAAAAAAAAAAAATTAAGGCAGAACTGCTGCCTTAAAAGGCAGCAGAAGAAGAAAAGAAAAAAAATAGGGGAGAAAATGAGCCTGCCCGGCTCGGCCCGTAAAAAGCTCGGGCCGAGCCTTTTTTTTTTGGCCGAGCTTTTGCTCGGTCTGGCTCAAGCCCACAAAAAAGCTCGGTCATTTTAACTGGGCCGAGCCCGAGCCGAAACTTTAGGCTCGCGAGCCGGCTCGACTCGACTCGTTTACATCCCTATCTAATGAACTCCTAAGTAATATAGTCGAAGCCCAAATACTTCCTCTTTTCTATTTTGGAGCTCATATGGCTTTACAGGCTCTAGGCCCAAAACAAGAATTAAAACTTGACAAAAATAATAATAACTAATTAGGATTATTAGGTAATAATAATATATATGTAATAGAAAAATAAAAATTGACAAAAATATTCACAAATGACAAAAGTCACGAAACTATTAAATTTTACATATTTGGATGAATTTTCAAAAAAAAAATTATTTTTATTTTTTATTTTTATATATTTTTTCACCAATCCGATTTTGTGTTAAATCGCAATTAAAACTCTTAAACTTAAACCAAAATGTTTTTGACTGGTTTGGTTTGGTTCAAAACCATTTCGTTGAAGGGTCCACGTGGCACCAAATCAATGGTTTCTGAAATGCGATTTCGATTCGATTTTCGATTTGGCGATCTTTACTTACAACAATAATCCCTTATTTGATTCTTATTCTTCTAAAAATTTATTTTGTCAAAATTCATTTTTAACCACACACTTTTCAATAAAATATTTTAACCACACATTTTTCATTAATTTACTATTCAAAATGCATTATTTTTCTCAAAATGGGATCAAACAAGGACTAAATAATAGATGTTCGCTCAATACTATAGTATTTTAAGTTGGAGTTATAAATTTTCATTTTTTTTTCAATAATGGGACAAGATTGTTGACGTCAAAATTATAAAATGATGTCTGTAGTTTTCACCTAAAAATACAATTATCGTCAAAAGACAATCTTCAAATTCAAAATCAAAAGATGAAAAAGAATCAAAAAAGGCGAGTCAGGCGCGGCCGGCAGGATTTTCCAAGATTCCACCATATGAACCCCACACGTGACACCAGCACACCCGTTATGCCAATCAGATAACTTAATATTTTGTGGGACCCTTCATTTCCATTTCCATTTCCATTTCCATTTCCATTTCCATTTCATTTGATTTTAGATTTAGATTTAATTTGCATTTGCATTTGCATTTGCATTTGCATTTGCATTTTAGGTGGGATGAAAATTGAAATAGAGCCAGTAAGACACATCAGGGGTGTGAGGATGGCCCCTCTTTGAAGATTTGACTCTGACCAAAATGAGTCTATGGGTAAAAAGTGAAAACAAAACCCAAAAAGAAAGAAAGAAGCAAGAAGAAAAGTCACACTTTCCTCCTCCCTTCCTCTCAATTTTTGAACTATATATATACACACCTCAAAGACTCCGCCTTCCACAACAACATATAATTATTATCTCATCCAACTTGAATTGAAACTATCTCTGAATTCGATATTTTTCAGGAAATTCTACAAACCGTAGAAGGTGTGTTTTCTTATTTTGAAGACTTCAGCTTGATTAACTTTCCTTTTTGTTGATTCCTTGATGTTTATCTGTGTCAAAGATTGATTTTATGATGTGGGTTGTGTTTAATTTTCTTGAATTTTATGACTTTGTTCAAAGGATACCGAGTTATGGATTTGTTCGATCTTGAAGTTTGGGATTCACGCGAAAGTACTAAATTTATTCATTCTTTGGTTATTTTTTCAGCGGTTGATGTGCAGCGGTTCAAAGAGCAAAAATTGCCCTTTTGATTTGGAGATGGAGGCTGAATTTCAAGAGAATAAGGGAAGAGCTGCCTTCAGAAATTGCTCAAAGTTGCTTGAGTTGGCAGCCACAGACGATCTCGATGGTTTTATATGTGAAGTAGAGGAGAGGGGTTGTGATATTGACGAGGTGAGCTTTTGGTATGGCAGAAGCTTTTGCTCAAAGGAGATGGGGCTTGAAAAGAGGACCCCTGTTATGATTGCTTCGTTGTACGGTAACACTGAGGTTTTGAAGTATATTCTTGGAACTGGAAAGGTTGATATCAATAGATCATGTGGCTCAGACGGGGCTACTGCTCTCCACTGTGCTGCAGCGGGTGGATCGTGGTCGTCAGTCGAGGTTGTCAAACTCTTGATTGATGCCTCTGCCAATTTCTGTGCTGTTGATGCCAATGGGAAGAAACCTGGTGATCTGATTGCTCCTTGTATAAAGTCCTCCAGCAATTCGAAGAGGAAAACGTTGGAGATGCTGTTGAATGGCTTAAACGTCGAGGCTGGTGATGAGGAGGACGAGCAAGGAAACAGAACCACCACGGCCGAGAAAAAGGAATATCCCATTGATGTATCTTTGCCGGATATAAACAATGGTATATATGGAACTGATGAGTTCAGGATGTATAGCTTTAAGGTGAAGCCTTGTTCAAGGGCTTATTCTCATGACTGGACAGAGTGCCCTTTCGTCCATCCTGGTGAGAACGCGAGAAGGCGTGATCCAAGGAAGTATCACTACACTTGTGTGCCTTGCCCTGAATTCAAGAAGGGAACTTGTGCTAAGGCCGATGCTTGTGAATATGCTCATGGTGTTTTTGAGTCCTGGCTTCATCCCGCACAGTATAGAACCCGGCTTTGCAAGGATGAGACTGGATGCTCGAGGAAAGTATGTTTTTTTGCGCACAAGCCTGAGGAGTTGCGTCCGTTGTATGCTTCTACGGGTTCAGCTATGCCTTCCCCAAAGTCTGTTTCGGCCAATTCAATTGACTTCGCAACATTAAGCCCGTTATCTCTTGGTTTGTCTTCAATGATGATGCCGCCTAATACTTCAACACCACCAATATCCCCTTCGGTTACCTGTTCATCTCCCATGGGTGGTAGCCTGTGGCAGAACAAGGCGAACCTTTCACTGCCTACGTTGCAACTCCCAGGTAGCCGGCTGAAAACAGCCTTGAGTGCAAGAGATATGGAATTGGATATGGCCCAACACCAACAGAGGCAGCTGGTGGATGAGATGGCCAGTCTCTCTTCCCCATACAGCAGAATTGGGGATTTGAAGCCTACTAATCTTGATGATATTTTTGGATCTCTCGATCCTTCATTAGTATCTCAATTGCAATGCCTCTCGCCTAATGTTAACAATTCTACCACCTCGCAGTTGCAATCTCCAACTGGCCTTCAGATTCGCCAAAACATGAACCAACTCCGAGCAAGCTACCCTTCCAACCTCGCATCCTCTCCAGCTAGGAAGCCCTCCTCGTATGGGTTTGACTCCTCAGCAGCTGTTGCAGCAGCAGTCATGAACTCTAGGTCGTCTGCTTTTGCAAAGCGCAGCCAGAGCTTTATCGACCGTGGTGGGGTTAGCCGGGCTAGCCTTTCTGGTGCAGCCAATTCCCCAACCGCCATGTCATCTAAACTCTCGGATTGGGGCTCTCCAGATGGAAAATTAGATTGGGGCTTCAATGGTGATGATGCAAATAAGCTTCGAAAATCAGCATCTTTCGGTTTTCGCAGTAGCAATGCTTCTGCTACAACAACAATGACTCCATCAAATGTGAATGAACCAGATGTCTCTTGGGTGAATTCACTGGTAAAGGATGTGCCCTCTGCTACTGGTCCTGACCAGAATCATGGAGGGGTTCATGATATGGTGCCGCATTGGGTTGATCAATTTTATTTAGAGCAGGAACAGATTGTGGCTTAAACCGGCATCACATCCATTTGAAGATTACCGTTAATTAGATTGATATTCTTTCAGATTCTTATTTATATCTTATATTATTAGATGGTTCAAGTTAAACACACAACTGTTGCTTGGATGAATGACTGATCATGTATTGTTTCAAGAGCTAGAACGAAATTTTTTTAATTTTTTCAATGTATTTCTCTCCCCGTGGGGTATAGTTTATGTATTCCTTAACGTTCAAGAGATAATGAAAGAATGCCAAGATAATTTTTGCTTTGCCAACTTTTTCGTGTATACTGTCATTGGTATTATATTCGTGAAAAGTGGTTTCGCAATCTTTTTGTACCTCATCTTGATAGCAAGCTCATCTTTTGGTATCTACCACGTTGGTGTGGGTCGGAAAACTTTAATTTACAAGTTTCATTTTTCTCCTGGTTAAATATTTGTCGAATTTTCTTTTAGATGACAAAAATTTAGTGCTGTTAATATGCAAGGATCGGATTTGATATTCTTTGGCAATCGCCTCTTGCGGGATCTTCTATGACTGTTGTCGAGTTTCCTGACTCGGTAACTTGCTTTCTTGGCCGACTAACAAAGTCTGAATTTTAGCTAAGTTGATAAAAAGCTAAAGAATCCATGGTGTTTAAAAATGTGGTTTGCCGAAAGTATGCTAGATGTTGCACGCTCTGTGCCAGTGGCAGTCACCATCCGATACAGAAAGAGTCCATTGATCATCCACTGAGGATTTCTTTATGGGTGATTGACACTTATGATTTTTAATTAGAGAAAGCTAATTAATCCAATGCATCAAACAAAAGCCCACTCCTCTATGTATACTTTTCAGCACTGCCTTTTATATTTATCTTTTGTATTGAATTAATAATGCAAATATAACATAAACTCAAGAACTAAGCCATAGCCTAGCGATGTGGAAGAACTATCTTTTCAAAATTGACATCCAAGAAAATCTATATTCTTAGCTAAGTGATATCAAGAAATCAGTAGTCCTCTATTCATCGGCCAGACTGTTACTCCTTCAACAACCAGCAGATAGACTTGAAATTGTTTTTGGTCGAGACGTCTAATATGGATAGTGTTTTCTTCGCACTGCAGACGCAGCCGTGTTTCTGATTACGCGTTGAGATGTGGGAGATGAGGGCACAAATGTCCCCATCAGCTAATAGGTTTTTCAATGTCCGGGCCCAGTTCTAGAATATGTACTAAATTATTTGTGAAAATGAAGGCAATGTTTTTTGGGTAGCCGCCCTAAGACCAATGTTCACAATTTTCCATCTTGAGTATTTAATTGAAGGATGCTTTCGTTTCTTCTTTTATTTATTTGATTAAAATATGTTGATTATATTATTCATTTTGAAATGAACACGTAGAGGTTTATAAAGAGGCCTTATCGTATTGGAATCTGGCATTGAAACTTACTTCCTTAAAGAGAGAAAATTTCATAATTATAAATTTATAATAATTTAAGAATACAATTTCGAAATAAACAAACTTTAAAAATGAATAAATAAATAAAAATCTTAAAAATCTTGTGACTTGTTCTGATAAATGATTGTGATCTATGAATTATGTGATTGTGACTTAGTATAATGTATTATTGTGAATTTTTTTTTTTTTTGGGGGTCCGAGCCCTCTTCTGAGAACAGTGTCCGACCCAGGCCCAAAAGAACTACTCTTCGGGCCCATTTTACATGTCCACTAATTTGAAGAATTTATAGATGCACCCTGTGCAATTTTCGTATGTTCTTCCCGCTCTTCGGTCCAAATTTCAGGCTACAATTTACTGGAAATATGCTCTCAGGTCTCTTTCTTTCTGTCTATGCATATATAACACACACACACACACACACGCTTGAATTTGTAGATCGCTCCTTGCATTAATGAAATATATACATTTATGATTGGCTGCACCATACATGCTTGTTGGAATGCCTCAAAGAAGAGGAACTAATCTTGATTTCATTTTCTTTTGGCAAAATTACGCGTCTGGAACGTTTCTCGCAAAATAAGATTCTATGAGCGCTATGTTGTGGTGGACTGGTTAATACGCACACATGTTAAAAATCCAATCTTTCATGTATGAATACAGGTGCTCAACTTCAAACTGAAGTCTGTAGGATGCCCGTATATCTTGGCATACCGCAAACTTCAACTGTAAAAAGTTGGGGTAAGTTTCATTGAATCAAGTATATGTGGAATTTGTATATCGATACCATGTTGCCTTTTGAGTTTTAATGTGCTGTATTATACCTAATTAATTGTGCTCTAAAAGACCAAAAGGAATAATAAACGAGGAAACCTACAAGCACTTGAATGAGCCTATCATTGGAAAAATATTATATTGAGTTACTGAATAGACACAGGTGCACATGTTGGATCATCTTCAGTCTCTCATCTATTATGCATAAAATAGAGTTCCTCAGCTACATACACTTGGAGAGGCCTATCCATTACTTTTGATGATAAAAATGGTATAGATGCCAATAGCTATTCTTCTTCCCTCAATAGTGAACCTAGGTTGTTTCACAGGTTAGATTCTGCTGGTCAGAGATATAAAGGAAATAAAAGATCTAGATCTTTATATGCATGCAAGATAATTCTGAATGATTTTGTTTTTAACATCAGAAATTTGAACTTATTTGTCAGCCTTGCCATCAATCTGCAGGTCTACAGCATAGAGAGATGCATCCATCGATCACCAAAACCTTTCGGAAAATGAAAATAACATGCATCCTAAACCACTCAGTAGAAGTTTCTCACCGTCATAAGGAACATGAAGTCAATAGACCTTTAGTTAAAATCTGTGGAGTCACATCAACTAGAGATGCTGCCCTGGCAGCAGAAGCTGGTGCAAATTTTATAGGGATGATTGTTTGGCCCAACTCAGAGCGTTCTATTTCACTTCCTGTTGCAAAAGAAATTTCAACAGTGGCAAGATCATATGGAGCAGAGCCTGTTGGGGTATTTGTAGATGATGATGCAGAAACAATACTAGAAGCTTCTGATAAAGCAGACCTTGAATATGTGCAGGCAAGTTGGACAAGCATTGATTTTATTCTGAATCTACTAAATTTTTATTTAGCCAGTAATATGTTGGACCCATGCAGCTTCACGGAAGTGCTTCTCGTGCTGCTTTTCCAATCTTGGTGAGAGAAAACCGAGTAATATATGTTCTTCATGCGAACCAAGATGGAGATCTTTTGAACTCTATTTCTGATGAAGAAAGTTCTCTAGTTGATTGGGTTCTTGTGGATAGTGCTAAAGGCGGCAGGTAAAAAACATCACACAATAATTTGTATTAATTGCACAGCATCATCATCAAGTTTTCTTCTTATTGATTGATCTTGATCAGGCTATAAATTTGCGATCATCAAAAAACATTTGTCAGATTAAATTGCTTAATTGAACTGTGTGTGAGTTGCACATTTTACTGAACCTATTTGCCAAAATTTCTGGCCAAAACTAGGACCCTTTGCTGAAATAAGAGCCCAATTTTCGTATGATAGATCGAAGTAGACATATTAGGAATCCCGAATGTTACAGGATTGACTTGATACTAACAATTGCAGTTTAAACTTTTAAGTTCTCGCTCATCCTCTTTCTATATGAAACAAATTTGTATTAGATTCTATAACTACAACTTTAATTCCTAGCATCAGATAATTCCTTCCTATTTTCCGGTCAGTGATAAAATGTATCGTTGCTGAGAAATGAGAATCAGTTGAACATATCGATAATCTGAACTCAAAAAAGAAAATGTTACTCTATTTTTCAAATACTTGAAGGATGAGTATTTTGTATGTATGTGTGTGATTTTGCAAGTCTATGAATGATGATGCATCGTTAGTTTCAATTTCAAATAAAATCTTCCGTTGTGGACTTGCACATTTAAATGTTTGGAGCGGCCTTGATGTTGATATATCGTGACATCACCTTTTGTCTTTAGGACACAAATATGGAAGGGTACATATTAAGTTTTACTTTGTAAGTTCAGTTTGGAATTATGGAAATGACCCAAGATACCTTGCTTTAGTTGATCATTTCTGTGACTTTCTTGTTTTCAATAGTTGCGCAATTTATTAATCAATTCAAAACTTCCTCATTGGGTTTATTCAATCATGACAATACTTTTTTCCTGTTGCATGCTTCCAGTGGTAAAGGGTTTAATTGGTCCCGGTTTACGATGCCACCAGTTAAAAGCAAACAAGGATGGTTGCTGGCCGGAGGGATTAAGCCTGAGAATGTGTACGAGGCCCTTTCAGTACTTAAACCTCATGGAGTTGATGTTAGTAGTGGCGTTTGTGCTCCAGATGGCATTCAGAAGGATAAATCTCGGATAATGTCCTTCATGAGCGCTGTGAATTCTGTACATTATTGACTGATATGCCATGTCATACGTCTAAACTAAGAAGGTGGAAAACAACCAATATGTAGCTATTGTGTTTGTTCTGAATTCTGGTTGATCATTATCATGTGTTTTTCTTTTCCATTTACTCTTCAAGAGCATAAAGATTTGTGAGTCGAATATATTATTTTTATTTTCTAATATATTAAGTTTTTTTCATCGTTCTTCTGTTAATAAAGGAAGAAACAAAGTTCTTACTTCGTGAATTATATCAGGCATTTTTTATGCTTTCTTATTTTCATCAATATCCATGTAATTAAGGAAAGCCGATATCGTGACAGGGCGCCAATTTGCCCTAGGGGGCACCAATTCACATGGGCTGTCATGGCCCCTGTTTGAGTATAATTATTTGGGACGGTGCTACCTGCACAGAGCCTTTACAGGTGCGCACACATGGGATTCACATGTGTGGGTGCCCCATGTGAGAGTCCCTGTACAGCCCTGTGCAGGGCCCTTTTCCAATTATTTGTAGTTGATAGTTTTTTAGCATATCTACCTGTCAGAAACAACATAATATTTTGAATCTCTATGAAAAGATGACTCTTTTGGCTTAAAAGTATTGAAATCATCAACTTTGATTAAGGATTCGTTTGACATGATTTTTAAAAATCAAAAATTATTTTTGAGATTCAAAAGTTGTTTTTGAACCCATTTGGCAAATTTTATAAAATAGTTCGAAAAGTTTTTAAAGAAAATTGTTCAATGTAGCTTTTTCCTAAAAACACTTCAAATATAGAAAGTGATTTTAAAAATTAATTTTCAAACAAAAATTAAGATAATCATGCCAACTTGAAGCATGTAATACACATGTATATGTACCTAATTTTGTTCATATACGAACGTCACGTCTCAAAATTATAGATTTCGCAGGACAATAATTGATGGTCCCTCTTGATTTTCATGTCGTGTAAGTTATCATCATGGGTCCATTGACAGCAGCCAGCCATCATATTTGCGCCTTTTCATTTCATTGACTTGAAATTAATTATCTTAACGGATCTTCAAACTCCTCTTCAATTCCACCACAAACATGTGGACTCGTACCAACACAGAATCACGAGTCATTCCAGATTTCTTGTCCCTAACTTGTTATCCTCTCAATTATTCTTCCAATACATTTATGATGTCATGATTCCAATTTATAAGAAGTTACGAATGACACATCTCAACTCTAAAATCATAGAACATGAATTTGAAACCCTCTAAGATCTTTACTAGTTACTCTAGGACTGGCGCACTTAAGTATACACATGCACATATGGAGAGATTATTGAAAACAATATTTCTACCTTCGGTAAAGTGCTAGTTTACATCGAGTACAAATAGGCATGTGAACTGTATATTAGTAATATCTATATATGTAACTCCATCAATGGAGGAAAAATCATTCTTCTTAGCAGAAAACTAGGATCCTGGCATCAATTTTTGGCTAAGAGAGTTAAGAGTCACATATGCATCAATTATTTAGCCATCATTTGGCTAATTCACAAATCACATATAAATAGTCAAACTTAAAGTGACTAGTTTCCGAGATCTCTATAGCTGAGAATCAGTTTGATAATAAACAATATCTCCAGAGTCACTCACATAGTGATCCTTTCTCATGCTTCTTATAAGAACTCCCAGCAAATACAATGGAAGAGGCCCTGATTTCTTTGGCTCCCTATAGTACTTTCCTAGCACCGGCTTAGCTGCTTCGGTCTGTTTCGAGAAAATTAGCAACCATCACGACTCGAATCACAATTAAATTTAGTAACAAGTGTGAAATAGATTATGGGTTTCAGCAAAATTGAAACTTACTGCTTCTACTAAATGATAGTGTGGGATTTGAGGGTAGAGGTGATGTATGACATGGGTTCCTATGTCATGATGGATGTTATTGACCCATCCATAGTCACGATCAAGTGTCGTAAGCCCCCCTCGAAGATAACTCCATTCCTGTTTCAATAAGTTTAAGAGATAATTAAGCAACCTTATTATGAAATATATAAAGATAAGATTAGTTAATCATGGAAAAGTAGGATTCAAAGATATATGCCAAATTCATACCTTTCCCCTGTACCAAGGAAGTTTCGCATCATGGCCATGGTGATGTAAGTAGGTAACTAAGTCCAGCCACATCACGAAAATCTGCAGTCAATTCAAATTCCAAGTTTTATCGAAAAAATTGAAAGTCGAATTCCAAGTTCAACACAAAGACTGCAAGTCGGAATTTCAAACAATAGAAACATGTTCGGTGAGTTGAACTAGACAAATCGAGATGTAAAAACAACTAACCGCGTAAGGAATGCCATAGAGTTTAAGCAATTGAACAGGACCCATAATGAAAGATAACCCTGCAAGAATTGCAACCATTGCTGTCCAACAAACTGTTGAGGTAATCACATCTTTTCTCTCATTTGGAACAAACAAATCACTGTCTGGGTGGTAATGAGAGCCTGTTTTCCCAGGGCTTCGACTCCACTGTCATAAAATATGCGAATATGATGAATAATTAGGGAATTAATTGATAAAAGTTTTATTAAATTGAAGGACTTAATTAACAGCTTACCAGATAGATAGGGTATGCTAGCAAGGGGAAAGGCAATGTGAACCTCAATTTCTTGGTGACATTATCCAAATTCTTGTAAATCTTCTCAGATAACTGGAAATTTCATTGGAGAAGACGGATTAATCTTGCATCTTCTAGCTTTACAACATGATAAAATCAAGAAGAAAGGCATTTAACAAATGACTTACTGGATGCCACGATTCGTCGTTCTCGACATGGCCATGGTTCTGATGATGAGTCCTGTGGCTAATTCTCCTACAACATTCACCACAACAAAATTTATCAGGTTCATGCGGCTCTATTCATATTCGAGATTTCTCATAATTAGAAGAAAATATTTCTCATACCATCCATGGTAAGGGACAAGAATTGAAGAATGAAGAAGATGTCCTGCTACACTATTCAGCTTTGGATTGTTTGAAAAACTTCCATGCCCACTGCACAAGACAAAACCCAGAAAAATTAACTCTCAATACACAATAAATTCATTCATTAGGCACAATATGTGAACTACAACGAAAATTAAAGCAAAAAATTACCAGTCGTGACCAAGAACAAAAAGAGCCCAGAACATAGTCCCCTGAGCAAACCAATACAAAGGCCAAAAAACCCAGTTGTTAAAATAAGCAGCCACAGCTGCTAATCCAAAAACTACCACAACATCCCTAACAACATAGGACATAGACTTCCAAGGATCCTTAACCCAACAATGTTTAGGAATTGCTGCTTTAATATCAGACAATTTAAACGGGGGTGGAGCACCAGGGTCAAAAGATTCATCCCCATTGAGAATTTTTCCCTCTTCTTTATTTTCTTCCACTGGCTGAACCCTCAATGGTGCGCTCACCTTCAAACCCCAATTTCTCTCCCTAAACCCACTTGACAAAGAAAACGAATAACCATTTCCACTTGTTCTTGAAATCCGAACTTTGGAGGGGTTAGAATTCAAGAAAGCTTGGCCAGTTCTTGGCTTTGCGTAGAATCTTGGAAGTGGCTTGAGCCCACATTCTGAGAGCACCCAACTGGCCATTGGATCCGCAACCTACCCAAGATTTCAGCTTTTAAAGGCTCTCACAGCAGTGAGAGAAGAAATTTGTGGACGTAAAACTATCCAACAAAAATAAGTAGATATATCTGTATGTATCGGCAAGAATGTATGTATATTAGCTGGAATATGGATTGGGCAAGTTGATAACGCAATGGATTGTCTCCTCAAGTTTTAGTTTCAAGAACCCCAACTTGTGTTTCTCGTTGATTGTCAAGATCTTCAGGCTTCAGTTCTTTATAGCATATGGTTTCGAGTACAAATTTTGATTTGTTGGTTTATGTGGCCTCTCTTTCTTCCCACTTTCATATTCCAATAACTAGTGTCTCCACTACAAGAAAGGGTAGAACGTGATATTTATGCCATAATATGGTACCTTTTTCCTATTATTATTCATTAGCTCTAATTATTATTTGTTTATTAAATTCTATTTTCTGTTTCCATATATTGGTCGGTTTGAAAATTCTAAGTTTTATTTTGTTTCAAATAAGTCATTGATATTTCTTTACAATTTCAATTTGGTTTATTTGTTAGTTAAATTAACATAAAATCATATTATTTGAATTACATTGCCATGAAAACCTCGACGATATTAATAATAGAATGACACAAAACCCTAAATTTCGTTTTTCTCCCGTTGAAGAAAAATAGGTTTCAAGCTTCCGTCATTAACATGATTATCACTTGTATATGCGATCAACCTCATTGGTATAAAAAGGCTTTTATAGTATACACACAGGATTTCATGTTAATCTTACTATCAAAGTCAGTAGCCGTTGTAAAAATTTAGCTACTGATTTGGAACAAAATAAGCATTAAAAGGACCAAGTGTGTAATTAACTTAATATCTCTCACTTTGAATATTCTATGATTCTACTTTTGGTTAGCTGTTCATGGGACCTTTTAATTGGATTTGAGAAATGCACAAGTAAAATGACTTTTATGTTTTTACTTATTTTCAATGAGTAATTATTATTTTTTGGTCCATTTCCAAACGTGTCAACTGGTTAGTGGAAGACAGAAGCGTGTGTGTACATATTTTAGGTCTCAAATCTGTAGTCAGCTCAATTTTCCTCTTCAGACTTTGGACTCAAAAAAATCAAAGGATGGCTGTGGGGGCCTGGAGGCTATGGCTTTTCGTTTTACCGACCAAGTCCAGAGAGACTGCGCAAATTATATATTAGGCACAAAAGTCAATTTTACATATATAATTTACTTTTATGACCAAGAGTGATAAAAAGTGAATTATTTCATTTCGACAGTAATTTAATTTATTTTTTCAATTCTAAAAATTGTAATTATCTTTTACTCTAATGAAAGGAAAAAAAAAATCATAAAGAACTTATAGTGATTTTACTTCTCCCCTTTTTTCTTTTTTTTTTTTATCCCCCTTTTTGAGATAAATATTTTTAAACCATAGTAACGCCGACCAACACAGATAAAATATACGCGGGGATGGTTGCAATATGCAATTAATGCCGTTTAACCTGCCGGCCATGTTGTGATAAATGCCAATTGCCCAGTATCATTGACCTTTTTTAATTTAGTCAACGTTCATATTTATTTTTTTTCCTTTGGTCTTTCTAGTTATATGTTTTTTGTTCACAGGCAGATACAATGTGTACAGTCCAACTTTTAATGCAAGTGACTAGCAGAAATCTCATTCGGTAGTTGAGATGTGTTATCTCGAACTTTTTATTCTCTTGGTTGTACGTTATTTTTGACTCCTCAACGCATCACTTCTTAAAAAATCGGAGGATGTCAAAGTAGAGGCTTCGAAAAATATGTTGACATCTTCTATTTGGTGATGTAAAAAAAATATATTAATGCCATTGACATCCACATAAATGAAGAAAAATAAATATTTAATTCTAAAAAATATAACAATACATAGTGTAGAAATTCGAAATGAGTATATCTACGTAGTCGCAGCTCGGCGACTGCAAACCAAAATCTGATAGGCTTGCTCATGCTCAGCGAGATCAAGTTGCTTCGGCGGATGAAATTGAATGCAGTCAAATATTCCACCATTTACGTTTTTCCATTGCCTTGGCGAGCTCATTCGCCATTGAGGCAAAGTTTTCAGCACCGCTTTGTAGCTCTTCAGTCCGTCTGCTGAGTTTCTGGATGAGAACGCCAAACGAAGAATGTTAAAATACCGAATATGAATAGGTTTATACAATACCAAATTGATTTTGGCTATTTTCATCATTTATAAAATTTTCACTGACAGAGACGTAGATAGGCTAGTCTCTGCCTCGTGTTGATAATCAATCTTGTCTCCATGAGATGCAATGAAGCTTACTGAACTACTTGAGAGATAAATTACGGATTTCTTCCTGTCTCAACCCAAGGTTAGATCAAGGCAGTTCACTTCACTGTTGCATAGAAGAGGTAAGACATTTTTCATTTCTTTCCTCTTGTTTGGTTTGTTTAATGATACAAACCGCGATTTTTCACGAAGAAATGGTAGCTAGCTATTTTTTGCAATAATAGTAAGACTAAAAGAAAGATATCTATGCAAATGACTTTGACAACTAGTAAGCTCCATGGAATCATATCAAAGAACATAAAATGTCCAGCAGACACAAATCCCATGCCTGTCATATATTAACACAAAACCCGGGACTGAACCGCTAGGGGTATAGTTGCTCCTAACCCATTTTTTTAATCATGGCCATTGAACTTGCACAAGTGAAGTTAAGATATTGAAACGGATTTCCACTAATTCTTCGCAGTCTTCAGTAATTACAATATATGCATATCCATCAAAGATAATATAAATTCGTTCTTCAAGTGGCTTACCTCAAGTTTCTCCTGGCGTTCTATAAGTTTTTCTTTTGCTTGTGCAGCGGCAGTGGAAGCATCCTAGAACAATTGACATGGTCAGACAGAAAAATCCCAATAATAAATCATGAAGTCATTCACAGGTTATCTGAAAGGAAAATGTTACCCCGGTGTTCCTATATTTAGCAATAATTTCTTCACGTGTCCGAGCCCTTGGTTTAGTATCTGCGGTACCACCTTCGAATAACATTTCCCTCTCAGTTTCCTTTCCTAAAAGTTAGCAGAAGAAAATGTTCGGGTCCATCAGGCTTAAACACAATCTATCATTAGAAAGAAATTAATAATTTTTACCTTTTCTGTCATTGTTAGCAGTAAGAGATGAGGATACAGTAGGAACAGGTTCATCTATTTCAATATCATCTGTAACACAAGCAAACAATTGAAGCAAAATATCATGCACTTCGTTCATTGACTCTTTTCAATAAAGTGAATACCATACCCAGGTTAGGGCCGACATAGTTAAGGACTCACCTATGTGAAGATCCAAGTCTCCTACGTCATATTCATTGTCTGGTTCAGAGAATGGGAATCTTGAGAATATGCTATCTAAATGGCCAATCAAAGCTTCACGAGCTTCAATATAATTCAAACTCGAATCTGCCTTTTCCCCTTTCAAACCCTTCATCATATTTCCAATGAATCCAGGGATGGTACTCTGGAAACAGAAACAGACAAATTCATTAACAGATTGAGAAAAACACAAGTAATGTGATATTTGTAACCTGTGTCTTCTTTTGGCTCTGGGAGAAACTAACAGCAGCATCAGCTGCAGCTGCAAGGACTTTATCATGTAGCCCAGGTGAATTCTCAGGAATCCTGAAATAAGCGTAGTTTCTTTTAAGAAATTTATCAGCTGAATGTACATAGCTTTGCAGGGGGTGGGATTTATGTGGTGAGAGAGGGAAGGGGGAGAGAGAGAGGGAGGGACCTAAATTCATTTTCACAGGCCAAAAATGATATTAAAGCAAATTCACATCCATTCACCTATAAAACATAAGCACATCAGTTAGATATCAAAAATTTATAGCATGAGACATATGGCTGGATAAAAGCCGATGTACCAATGCTAGTTTGCTAATGAACAATGGGAATATTTACAAAAACTGTCCTGCCATTCTGTTTCAAAATTAATTTTAATACATGTCCAAGGTCGAGGGGGGTTAATATAAAATAATAATAAAAAACAAGACCATACTCTAGATGATAAATCATGCAACATTTGATAGAGATTCCAGTTTGAAATCAAGAGCATGCTTGGTATTGTTTCTTTCTAAAAAAGAAGCTGCTTATTTCAGCAGTATCACACGATACTGCCCAGAAAAGCCATTAACTAAGCCAAACATGCTCCCAAGGCACCTAGAACCAAAACATTTATTCTAACCGTTCCATTTCATTCCATCCCATTAGTCTGACTCGCTAAAGTCCACATGAGATCATGAGATTGCATTCAATTGATCCCGATTAACATAATAGCCTTGTCAAAATGTTCACATGGTACTAACCCAACCCAGGCAGCTAGCTAATAGCATCATGAAAAACTAAACTTGCTAAAAGATCCTATACTTTCTTTTATCTGATGGATGCCATGCATAGGACTGGTAAACAATTGGTGAGACATATTTTAGCAGACATTATTTCTGTCAAAGAAACCAACCAGAGTAATCTGCCCCTTATCAGAAGCACTCATTGTCTTGTTCATATTATTCTTGAAATTCCACCTAAGAATTGACATCAGTGAAGTATCTCCCACCAACTCGAGTTCTGGAATAGTCCTGGAAAGAAAATGAGAGAGTTGACTATTCATCATATCTCTACACATACTATTTCATCATTTCCGATTACATCAAAAATAATATTTACTCAAAGCATTTAAAGTAAGAAAAGTGAAAATAGCATGTTACTTAGCCCCTGTTTGTTTACCGTTAAATTGGAAAATGAGTTTTGCAATAGTGAATTTTTGGAGAATGGGTGGTTAAAAAGTAGAAAAATGTTTTAGGTTTATATGCAAAATATTTTATTTTGAAAATATGTGATTGAAAATGAATGAGAAAATAAGAATTTTCAAGTAATGATAGACTAGGTTTAGTATCACGAGACAGTTAAATATACTAGAATCCTCAATTTTTATTACTTCTTAATCAGTGACTTGCTATAATTACTCTTCAATTTTCTGTTGAAATCTATTTTGTAGAGGTACTCAAATTGGATTAGTGATCGATTTCTAGGTTCTGTCATAAACCTAATTGTTTACTTCTAATTATTTAAACCAATAGTTCAAACCGCAATCAAAGGTATGGCAATTCCCATTTTTATAATAGCTTCTGTACCCAAAACAATTATATCTCCAATTATAGCCCTCTGGACGTAAAATAAATCTCTTCTCAACATCCCCAAAGTGTATGAGACAAATGTATAAATTTCGATTAGGGTCGTATTCTATGGTTACGATGAGTAAGCACCTGGATATATAATTATTTTTGGCTAAACCTTTTTCCACATGTTTCGAATTTTTAACACAACCATTTTGTAAGAAAATAAGAATATCCAAAATGAAGATAACAAACTATTCTTTTTCTGGAAGAATGTCAACTTAATATAATGTCCTGCTTCTTGTTCATTAAAACTGTGATTATACACAAAACATACTTTCCTGCATGAGCATGTAGAAAATGAAAAAAGTGGTGAGAGAGTGTAACACTCAAAATCCTATCAATTTCTTGCCTGGTAATACTGAATTTCTGCCTCACTACTGTGATTTAATGTTATTTGACTTATTTTTACCACAGTGAAATGTAAGTAAAAGTAACCTACCACTTCTACTAACACATTAATATCTTTTCTATATATTCATATATTCCTCCCTCTTTTTTCCAATTAAAGGGGGGCAAATCCCCTAAAAGGAGGCTTGAACCCAGGTCTTTTTCCTGGTAGGACTTTCACTCTTACCACTTAAGCTAAGCCTCGGCCTTCATATATTCCTCATAGGACAAGCATGTTTTCTTGACATAAGTTATCTCGAAGAAACAGATAAACCGTTTTCCATTTGGTTCCTTTTTATCTTCACATAACTTTGAAGCGGCAGCCTTGTGCAAACGCATCCCAGCCAAGTATAAATCATCATTCATTCAGAAAAATCAGCAGAACCAGATAGACACATAAATAGATTACCTTATTTCAATTTCTCCAGTTTGATAAACTATGATCAATCCAAATTCCTCTGCACTTTTCTTGAATATTGTAGTCCAACAACAAGGTTTCCCAAGTTCCAGTATACTGATAAATTTATTCTCCACCTAAAGTCAAAGAATTTCTCATAAGCTGTGGAAGAAAATAATAATTACTGTTAAAATTGAAAAGGATAACAGAGTAAAGCACCTGAATTATGGACTTTAAAGAGTAGAAATACAAAGCATCCTCACAGCAAAGTAAAATTAGAGATGCCATGGGTAAGTTCTCTAAATATGTAAGTTGCTTGGGATTTTCAGCTTCTGATGAACCACTTAGATTCTGATCACTTGTTTGCACAGGTGGACTTTCAGCTTCCTGATTGGGCAAAGTTGTCAGTGTGTGCTTTTTGGACCCTTCAGGGAGAGGATCTTCGCCTTCTGCTAGCAAACAGGTCCACGAAGACGGTAAACATCTGAGCACAAAAATTAGTTTGTATCATCAGACTGAGATACTTGCCTAATAAATACATGCATATGGCAGTTGACTCTTCCTTTGTATGTATTGACTGAGAACTGATCGTTTTGCCACTGATGCTATCGATTAAAACCATGTGTGCATCATTCGTCAAGACAAAAGCAACCTCCTTTGCAGATTCAGCTACAGTTCCACTTTCAGAGTTCTTTAGACTATTTTCACGAGTATCCGGAAAAGTTCTCATTGCCAAAGAAATGATTGGGGACGTTGGGCTAGATACACAGTCTGTAGTATATAAAACTGATAAAGAACCAGTATCAAGCATTGTGACCTGTAATAGGATAATTGTGATATGAATTTAGAAAACTTCTCACACTTAAGCAAAACTAAATAGGCATACAGATGATTGTGACAGTGGTTTCTGTAAAAACTAGCTCACCTGCCCGCACTGGAATCCAACTGCAAGTCTGACCCCAGAAGATACAAATTGCAAGGAAAGCACTGGAGAATTAAGGATGGAAAATATAGCATACACGTGATTTTTCTCCTCTTGCGGCAAATGATGAACTGTAAATAAACTACATAGCCGTCACCATATGTATCAAAGAAACAGATGAGAGTACGAACACATGAGAGCCAGTATGACAGTGAGAGTATCAGAAAGAAAACTACTGAAGGACCCAGCTCCCAGCAATGCCTATCTAAGAGCATTTTAGGACAGCAGGAGCAGGAGTTCCAACATACTTCACGAGGCCTCATCATCAGAATATCATTACACTTAGGTCACTCCCATCCATAGGGCATTCCATTAATAAAGTATCTTTGTTTAATTGAGTACCTTTTGTTTATGGTTGACAGGGTATAGAAATACACAACTAAAATAGAATACCTCCTGGGATGATAGTGAAGAAAGCTTATGAGAATCTATAGTAGAAACATGCAAGACAAACTGATGACAATCAAACGTTCTATTGCTTGTTGCCTTAATTTTACTTAGTGTGGTCTAGCCAGCAGTCATTCTTCATTTTTCAGTTTTGTTTAAGTTCTAACTCATTTTTTAATGTGTCCAGCTTCTCACCATACATAATTGGTTTAACCAAGCCATCCAAATATTCGATAACATGAAACTTGGTATCTCGGCTGAATAGAAAATAAAGATGTGATGTGAACAACAATAAATCAATACGTTTGACGTCATGGAAATACATAACATAATTCAAATAAAAACTTCAAATATTATTTTGACATTTCTAAAGGAAAGAAAAAACATTGCGACCATATTACAGACCCACTGCTTGAGTAGAGAAAATGCAATAAAGCTAAGCCCTTGTTTGATTTTTATTTTTTGAAAAGAGATTTTTTTGAAGAATGGGTAGTTAAAAAGTAGGGAAAAGTAATGGGTCCACGTGGAAAATAATTTTATTGGGAGAAGTGTGGTTGAAAATGAGTTTGAGAAGACGTAATTTAGAAAAACTCAAAATCAAAAAAGGGCTAAATCACAGGATTATGTAGGCTTCAAATCAAGCTTTTGTTTCATTACATGGTTGAAATGCCATCTAGAGTAGCAGAGAAGGTCAACTTACAGAAAATCAAGACTCCAATTTAAGTATCAAAGTTCACGCTGTAACTTTTATATGGAAAATCTATTTTATCCTCTATTCTTAGAAATTACCTAAAAGGAAAAAACAAACTCCTGCTTAGGAACAATAAACCAGATCCTTCCTAATGTCAAAAAAGCCCAAAGCCTGAAGAAGAGAGTATTAAGGAAAGAAACATAAATTACGACGAAAAGAAGAAAGAAATTCATTTGCCAAATTGTTTGCTCCTGGAAACAACTCTCACTTGTGCTCTTTTCTTGTTTACCAGTGCCTTGCCTTCACCATTATTTCTCTCACACTTCTGCCGTAAAGACAATGGATGTACTCAAACTCCTAAAAATCAACATTGAAATTCGTTGATCTAATTCTCAAACTTACCAAATTGCAAGTATTACTGGCCAATATTAATACAACCAAATTTTAATAATCCTAAAAAAATAAATCCTCAACATGACTTGTACAAAAGCAAAAGGAAAAGGCAAAAATATTAATGAACAAACAAAATAGTACCTTCATGTTTGGTTTCAGCTACTATGGTCAAGTTTCTCTGATTAGAATTTCTTTCTAGCCTATAAAGGCAAACCTATATAAAAATAGAAGATTACTATTCTATCACAGAGTTGGTCTTAATATATAATTTTGACGACAATTTAAATAAAGAAAATCCGTCCCTTTACTAAGTGTTCAAGCTTTTGAATGAGGCTATTCAACATGGTAAGGAAGTAGACAAAGGTCTTGGATTAAGTCTCATCACTGCTCATTTATGACTTATGAAAAACTGTGCACGTGTTAGCCTTATGGCGTACATGTGAGGAAGCATCTTAATGAATTGTTTCCTCTCTTAACATCTTAAGATTTTAGATGAGGCGATCCAAAATGGCAAGTTAGATTGAGAAGCGAGGAGCAAAACCAGTCTGGTTTTGTGGTGGAAACCGTTGTAGAAAAAACCAGTGAACTGACCACGTAAACCCTGAACCAGATAAACTCGTTATGGTCTTCCCGGTTTTTGAAGTTTTCTTCTTTAAAAAAGAAGAAAAAAATTTCCTCCACATACAGTTTCTCATCTTCATTGTTTGGATTGCATCTTGATTCTTGACTTTATTCAAGAACATGCAGCTGCCACGTCTGAGCACAAATTAAAAAGGAGAGGGTATGGTAGAGAAGAAAAACATTCTTCTCATGGGATTGATTTTGTGTGCCAGGTTTTATCTGAATTCTAGTTAGCATCTTCAGTGGGGGTGCAAGTTTTAAAATTTGACATTTTAGCTTTAACTTTTTTTCTTCAGCTGGGGGGTGTGTGTGTGTGTGTGTGTCTGTGTGTGTGTGTGTGTGTGTGTGTGTGAGAGAGAGAGAGAGAGAGATTTTCGTGATTGTTTTTCATTGGAGAGATTTGAGAGGGAAGATTTTGTGAGAAGGCACATCCTTTGAGAGATCGTTAAAATGAGGAATTATAAGTGTTGTAAATAGAGCCCAAAAGAAATGAAAATAGTAAATCTTTTTTGAAATTAATCACGTGAAAATTTATAATAATGCAATTCATGATTAATTGCAAGCCAGTCTAATGGCAGTGGACCCCTAATTCATTGTTCACTGCATTAAAATATATCACAACTCCATGAGAATAAAGTAGGGACCCACTACCACCTAATGATCACCACTAATGATGAATAGCATTACTCGCAAATTAACAATATAGTGTTATCAAGAATGGAAGGAAAATAATTTAGGTATATTAATTATTTATTTTTTAAATTCCAACATTCAACCCCCGTTGAACCTTTAACCCTTCGACCTGACCTTTTCCGATTTAATGCCAATGCCAGATTTCTATACATTGCATATAACATTGAAATTAGTTCTTACCAGACCACGTTCATTGCCAACAGCTAAAGTCAAGGTGGCAGAACAAAGGTCTAGTGCTGATACTGACCCATCTGCACCATCGACTTCAATACCCTTCATCTGCACATCACAAGGTTTGTGAGGGATAAATATTATTCGAAATCAATGAACTGTTGATCAATATTATAAGAGATGATGACAGTTGATTTAAATCACAGATGCAAAATTTAACAGCTTGCAGTACTACACTAACCTCAAATCCTAAAACAAAAATAAGTGACAGAACTGGAAATGTGGCATCCCATATTCGAACTGATCCATCTTGATATCCTCCTATATATATTCTCTGATTACTACTAACTTCAGCAGAAGACAGTTGACAAGGAATCCCGCCGGTCAGAGGCCACCTCGTCCTTTTAGTCGTCATATTACCCGCTGCTTGTAGTGTTGATTTTGAATCTGTCTAATGAAATGATAACTGATCATTAAAATGAACAATGCAAGAATTAAAACACGGTAGAGGGTATCCAGTACCTCTGAGACTGTTCTTGAAAAAATCGCTTCAGAATTGATCAAAAATAGCTTTCCCAGAGTCATACATGGTTCAACAGTGGGTATAATTGAATGGTATTGAACTGCATGGACAGATTGATTCTTCTCTAGCCCAGATTTGAACGTAGACAAAGAAGGATAGTCATAGAAATGCAATTGCCCAGGATTGGTCAATAAAAACAGTGAAGTTGAATCATTAATGTCTGCTTCATATGGATCTGACAGTGCTATCACATCAGCAAAAGATCCATGAAGAGCAAGGTCAACACGATCAACACACTTCAAGTTTATTAGTCCAGGAGACCAATCAAGATCAAGGATCTGCATAGGTATGAGCATTACAGAAATTGTTTTATCAAATATTAGAGATTACTTGGAAAGGAGAACGTTATATTTTGACTTCTTTAGCCCTCTTCATGTTCAGTGTTGACAAACAAAGATCATTAAGATTTATGAATCAAGCAGAACTGTATTGTAGTTGTTAACTGGAAAAATGAAAAGTTTTAGAGGATGACATTGCAATGCTTGCATCTCGAGCTAGAAAATAATCAAGCAGTTCGCCAACAGAACGTGCTCAAATAATCTTGGACAAGCTCAGGGCCATTACGCTTCGCAGTTTGACACCATGAGATATAAGAATTATATTTCTGGATCAATAATTTGGTTAATGTACATTGGAATATTCCTAATGTTCTGAATAATCCATATAAATTCACATCTTTATGAATGAAAAGTAGAATTTACTCAAAAAAGCAATACAGTTCACTGTCGTCAGACAATCATGGAAAAAATTCTTATAATCCCACTCATTGGATTATATTCAGAAAGGAAGACACCAATTGCAAAAATCCCCTCATATGATGTGACTGCTAAGACAAGGGACAACAGAAATTTTTTGTTATCTAGAACTTGGAAAAGTTGCAAAATGAATCCCTTGATATGATGTGACCGTGAAGACATCCGAGAACAGATATTTAGTTGTCTAGAACTTGGGGCCACTTAAAACAAGAAATAAAAAGTTGTCCTCATTGCGATATCATATTACCAATGCCAGGTGATTTGTCTCTATACACTGCATAGATGTACATGCATAAGAGATGAAATATGGGAGGCAACAAAGAAAATGAAATATGAATACAATGAGCAGAAGGTAACACTTCTAACAGTATATTAGTAAGATACACAGACACCAAGCAAACATGCAGGATACCGTGAACAGTGCTACGTCATGGTTGGTAACAGCTAGAGACAAAACGAATTATTGAAACTGTAGAACAAATACCTATCAAAGAAGAATTTATGATTGCAAAACCAAATAGTCAAGAGAGCTAAATTAGGGTCAGTTACTCTGAACATACCGTCAAGACTTCTTCAGACCCAATGTCTTCACCACCGTAAACAAAAAGTTGACCTCCACAACCATATTGGGCCTTATTAGGAGACCAGTGCAGAACAATGACAGGTAGTCTTCTATCTCCTGATGATAACTGTATCTTAACAACATCATTAGATGATTTATGTGCTCTCTGACCATTTCTATTATCAGAAACTAAAAGGTTCCATAGCAAAATATCTCCGTCTACATAACCAACAGCTATTACTGACCCATCAGGAGACACCCAACAGAGAGAGCTTATTTCCTTTTCTGCTTGTTCATCATCTAATGAATTATTCAGATACGTATGGCTTTCATTATTTGAAAAATCAACAATTGTTCCCTCCTTCAGTTGGAGATCTCTATAGCCTCTGATAAGAACAGCTCTATCCTCGGTAACATCCCAGAGAATGATCAACCCATTCTCGTATGCAATCAGAACCCTGAAAACGAATAGAAGTAATATAAATGAAGATATGAGAAGAGCACCTTGAGTACAAGACACAATGTTAAGAACATAGAATCATGTTTCAGCTATCATGGAAACAGAAAAAATTTAGGTGATAGACATGTATAAGGAAATATACTTAGTCAATTAAAAGGAAATTAGCAAACTCAGTGATCCAACACTGGATGTGAAATGGGTGTACTTGGTGATTATAGGTTTGTAAACAGACTTCACACACTAACTCACAATGACATTTCTTAATTTATCAGCAGAAAGATATATATAATGAACTGCAAAAATCTGATAGCAAGTTACACTTCGGATTCCCATACAAAGTGTTGAAACTGTGTACAAGATATGCCGACAAACAATAAGAGATATTCAAACAAAATAAAATACAGTACAACATAACATGAGAAGCTATTAAGGTCATCACGTAGAAAACTTAAAAAAAGATTCACAAGTACTGAATGACAGCCATGCTCTTCAATCTTATAGCACCAGGCAAGAGGTAAACGATCTCATAACCAATACAACTTTTTCCTTTTTGCCCTATTGGTGGAGCGCGGGAGTTTGAAAAATGTGTAGGTTATCCTTCGGACCTTTGCTTTAATAGAAAAGATGAAAGGCTTCTCATTTTACTAGGTAGCAGATACTCAAAATTTGACCACCCACCTATCAATAACAATACAAGCATTAACTTTCCAAATATAAATAATTAAAATAGTTTTTGCATGTTTTGTATCCTCCCTCTATAATCATTATCTTTTTCTCGTTAGAAGTGTAAAAGAATAAAAATACACCATGGTTGAGTACAAACATAGGGTAATACAAAACAACAAACTAAGTCGTATTGCCCATAAATTTGAGGTCGGCTATGAGCTCTGTTTGATCCGTCCTTACACTAGGTAATACACGTCAACCGAAATAAATTGGATAGAACAGCACAAGGACAGCATAAAACTGTAGAAGTATTATTCATAGGAGTTATACAACAAGAACCAAGGAAATATAAAACTACAACGAAAGAGCGTGCTCTAAAGAAAGTTGGAAGTGATTTCTAAAGCAATTAAAGGTAAGATTGCCAGATATACCAGAATCCCCATCTCGCCATTAACTGAAATTAAGTAAAGCAAATAAAAGACAATAAACATTTTATTTAAAAAAAATAAAAATAAGAAACAAAAAGAAGAAGCCAGCAATTCTTTTATAACTATTAGGACGAGAGAGCTGATGATGATATTAAGCCAGATGGTGAAAAGTTAATAACAATGATCAAGGCTTAACTAATGTCTAACTGGAAGAGATGGAAAAAGAATTCGGAATGAAACTTGGAGATTTCAGTGAAGCCAAGAGATCTCTAGGTTTTCCACTATCATCAGCCACTATCAGGATGCGGGTGAAGTGAAAGTCAAGAATTTCATGACACGTATAAGACATACATAGAAACAACTCAGATGAGTTTATCACTGTTCTTTACCTTAGATATAAATGTAAAAGGATGAAAAGTGAGGATGGTCTCCCATAAGTGTTTCATGATCCCTCCCCAATACATGTGTTAAAAGATTAGTACATTAATATTAAACAAAGGCCTCATCATACCTAGTAAGAATCTCGATCTTTTATCAGGGAAAGAAACCATGTGTCAAAATGTACACTTAACCATTTAGGTGATTACAACAATTTGAAGAATTATGGAAAGAAAGGCACAAGAGAATTGAAGGAAAAATTGACATGCTAGAATTCCCAGCAAGGAATCTGGAAGGAGAAACTAAGCATTCTTTCTCTTACCTGTTCCCAGATGAACAAGGTTGGGATAGAACACCGACGATGGATTGATGATCAGGCAATGAAATACCAGCTCCTTCTGCAAATGAGTGATAAGTGATAATATAAAGATGTAGTATATTCTAAGCTTGTTGGGAGACTTAATATAGCTTTATATCACGTACTTTACAAGGAGATATTGATAGGATTTACAACAAAATTTCGTTTCAACAATGGATCAGATGCTTAGAGATGAATTTGAATATCCGAAGTTCTCATATTTGTCAATAAGTTTCCACAGTTTTATTATCCAATATTGAACTAATTGGACAAAACACATAACTGATCATTCAAATAAATAAATAGCATTCTTAAAAGTTACCAGGAAATTATGTTACCAGCTATAAGATTTGGAGGAACATGGTATGGTAAGTGCAAAAGTTTCCTTTCTTCAGCATCATACTTTAGAGCAGACAAAAATCCATACTCATCGCCGACATACCTGAATGTCAACAGCAGTGAGAATTTAGCCATGGATGAAGTAATTACTTCATTTTCATCTAATTGGTGAACTATTCAACTGCAACATAACAGTTTCTCCAGTCTCTTACATGTAATGAGTGCCATAGATAATAGAGAAAGCTGTTATATTGGACTCCCATTGCAAATTAGAAGATATGCACCTTTTCTCTAGATCCCAAACCTGTTAAACTTGCACATTTATTGGCAGTCAAAAAGGAAAAACTGGGCACTGTATACGAAGAAATAGAAGGCACAAAAGGGGGGAATTGGAGAAGTATGTGCAGATGCAAAGATTGAAGAGCACAAATTGAAATATTTCACCAGATGCTGGTGAGCAGCCTACAAGTAATCGTACCTGAATTTCATTTTCATTGGAAACAGTCACTAGAAAACCTTGGTTTTGCATGAACTGAAAAGAGAGCAAACATAAGTGGAAGATTAGAAAAAGCTCTTACTTGGTCATCTATGACCCAAAAAGGGATTAAAATGCAAGTAAGAGATGGTTAGTACTTTTACAAGGAGTTGAAACATCTGGCTTAAGCTTTCATACAAATATTACTAAAACATCTATTATTTCTTTCAGACAACTATTTTCTAGAAATCATCTCAGCAAAACAAAATAAACATACAATGTAATCGTGTGAACATGAAAAACTATAGAGAATTTCATTTGGTAAATGTACGAAACACAAGTAAGACATATCGCAAAACTAAAAAATTACAGAAATAAAACATAGTAAGCAGATAGCATCAGGTGTACAATGATCATCAACAATAACAATAAATAAAGTTGTTTTGGCATCATGTGAGATGTACAGCATTTAAGAAACCATCGAAATTCAAAATCAACTACTTAAGAAAAGCAATAAAAAAACAAATATCCCGTAACGAGAGTAATGGACAAGATAGAAGAGGATAGGGTATAAGATGCAGCCCACTTTACGACCTAAGGCCACTAACCTCTAAATTCTTAAAGGGCAAGGATTTAGGAGACATAAGGAGGCCTTCAATATTGTCTCCACCAATTACTTTGATCCTGCCATCTCTGCAATTCCAATCAATAAAGAAGAAAAGGATTACAAAAAGGATGGCACAGAAAATCAGATTTTGAAACCAGATCTCCAAAACATAACCATAAATCTCAAGCTTCTCACGACCACTATATCATAAACTTCTACCCTCTCCTCCCTACTCATACATGAATAGAGTCAGCAATGGTTCTTAGTGCAGTTTATGCTGATGTCAACACTCAACAACTGCTGATAAATGCAATGTGAGACATCTAGATTCTCAAGGCTGAAATGTATGAGAACAGCCAAAAATGTGGATTTTGAAAATCAGGGATGATTCACAAAACAATAAAATGTAACAGGAAATGATTCTGAAAGTGGAAGAATTGTATGATGTACTATACTATACTCATGCAGCACATATAATATAATCATTACCAGTTAAACAATTCTATACATTGATATCCATACAAATGTAGAGAAACTTAAAACTCACAGTGTCCCAATTGCCAAGAGGCGTTGGATGGGGTCAAAAGCCAGAATTGATGCAGTAGATGGAATGCCATAGTGAATGGAAACACTTGGTGCCATGCTTTGGTGCACAGCATTCTGCTAAAGAAAAATGCAAACATTAGCACTCACAAGCCCACTATAGAGAGGCAGCAAAGATAGACAAATAGACCTACATTTGTAGGTTTGGCAACCAGCATTAGCTATTGGAGCATTTTAACATTAATACAATATAAACTCAAAGAAAATTAATAATTCATCCTAGGATAATATGTATAACTAATCTAGCAAGTTAATGTGAGAACACTGAAACACATCAAACAATTATTTGATTAAAAAAGAAACAAAAAAATGAGAAATGTATTTTACTAATTTTTGAAGACAAAAAAAATTGTGAAACTCTATGAAAAAGCATTAATGGTCTCCAAATTTGTTGGAAAAAGTCTTAGGCCCTGTTTGAGCCACATTCTTTCAAAAAAAAATAATTCTTAAACAATGATTTGACATCATTTCAACCACACATTCTTCAATAAAATAATATTACATGCAAATCTAAATTTTTTTTCCATTTTTTAATTATACATTCTCCATCAATCTACTATTCCAAAATACATTCTTTCAAAATAATGTGACTCAAACACACAAGATTATTGCGAAGACTCTGGCGAATAGATTGAAGGACGTGCTCAGAAAGTGGTGACTAAGTGTCAGAATACTTTTGTAAAAGGAAGGCATATTTTGGATACTGTGCTTATAGCAAATAAATGCGTAGACGCTAGATTACGTTTGGGGTGACAGGGATGTTATGCAAGCTCAATATTCAAAAGGCCTATGATCACATGAACTGGGGTTCCTTATGTACATGTTCAGGAGATGTGACTTTGGGGAAAAGTGGTGTCGGTGGATTTAATTTTGCTTCTCTACCGTTTCGTTCTCAGTCTTGGTTAACGACACCCCGAAGGATTATTTTCGAAGTAGCAGAGATTTGAGGCAAGGGAATCCCTTGTCTCCATTGCGGTTTGTGATTGTTATGGAGACATTCAGTAGAATACTTGAGAAAGCTGTGGGAGAAGGTTTGATAAGGAATTTTACGGTTGGACACTTACAGGTTTCCCATTTGCTGTTTGCAGATGATACATTAATTCTATGCGATAAGTAATTTAGAAATTTGCGTCAGCTACTTCTATGCTTTGAAGCGATGTCGGGTTGAAGATTAATTTGAGAAAATCTGAGGCTATTCCAGTGGGAAAAGTTGCTAACGTAGATGAGTTGGCCAATATATTGAGTTGTAGGGTTGCGCAATTGTCCATGTCATACCTTGGGCTCCCTTGAAGGGCAAGGTTTAAAAGTAAACATATTTGAAATGGAATTGTCGAAAGGATGGAAAAGATGTTAGCAGGATGGAAGCGTATGTACCTTTGGATGGGAGGCCATTCTACCCTCATTAAATCCACTCTCTATAATCTCTCAACTTATTTCTTATCACCGTTTTTCATTCCTGTTATAGTGGCGAATAGGTTAAAGAGAATTCAAAAGGAGTTTCTTTGGGCAAGGTTAGGGGAAGAGAGGAAATTTCATCTGATTAATTGGGATGTGGTCTGTTCTTCTGTAAGGATGGGAGGCCTAGGATTAAGGAGCCTTGTTTTGTTTATCAAGGATTTATTGGGCAAGTAGTTGTGACGATTTGGAGTAGAGAGGGAGAGTTTTTGGAGAGAAATCATAGGAGCGAAGTATGGTGTGATGGAAGGGGGTTGGTGCTCAATCGAGGGTCATGGATCTTATGGGGTAAGTTTGTGGAAGCATATCCGACAAGGATGAAATGATTTTCGAGATAAATTGACTTATGTGGTGGGGATGGCAATAATATCAAATTTTGGGATGATTGCTGGTGTGGAGATCGTCCGCTAAAGGCACGGTTTCCTTCTTTCCACGGCAATTATTTTGAAACCATCCGCTATGGTGAATGATGTAATAGTCATACATAATGGAAGTTATAGTTGGATTATTGCTTTTGAGAAGGGATTAAAAGATTGGAAATTGGATGATTATGCACTGTTCTTGACTTCCTTGCACGAGGCACGGATTCAAGTAGGAGAGAGTGATCATAGCAGCGGGATGATATTTTTCAGTTCGCACTTATTTTAGATCCATATTTGGTCCCGCGGAGAGTTCATTCCCCTGAAAGATGGTGTGACAATATAAATTGCCTCCACAAGTGGCTTTCTTATTATGGACGGTTGTGAGCGGGTAGACGTTAACGGTGGATAATCTTCGAAGAAAAGACTTTTGTGTTATCGAGTGGTGTTATATGTGTAAGAGAGATGGAGAAACGATTGACCATATGTTCATCCATTGTGATGGTGTTCGGTAGCTGTAGAACGGTCGAGATAAGGACGATAGGCTTGTGTGGAGTCTTATTGCAGGATGCATTGTATGGGAGGGGGGGTGTGTGTGTGTGTGTGGAGAGAGAGAGAGGAACAGTCGCTGTTTTGAAGACCAAACAAGAACAATAGAACAAATAAGAGAATTGTTTTATATGACTTTGTATACTTGGTTTAATGTTATGGCCACTAATCGTATAGAATGGTTGCCTAACTTCATATCGTTTCTTTCTTGTTTATTTTGATAACACACCTCCCATGTATTATCCTATTGATTAATAAAATTACATGACTACTTATCAAAAAATGATGCCATCGTGCGAATTATATATCCTGTAATATAATATATAACGATAGTTTCATTTATTAGGCATTCCTGATATGATTACAGTGGTGCCAGGTGGAATTTAAGTTTTGAATACAACTGCCATAGGCGAAGGCAATAGCTTTCCGATTATACAACAAAGTTCATCAGTAGTGTTTGAATGACTAATCAGATATAGAGCAGCTTTGCCTATGTGACACAAGGCATGAGTGTTAACCAATGTTTCAAAAATTGACTCGGAAAAGGATAAGGATCAAGGGTTAAAGGGTCGAACCGAGGCTAAACCCCATGCCAAAATTAAGTAAATGAATACACACAAACAATAAAACATTATAACAAAAATATTTTTTTTTAAATTTTAGTGCTACTAATTCAAAATAAATATAAATCCATATTTGTCAATTAGATTTATTCATCTAGTTTATTTTAAAACTTCATAAACCAATCATTAATATGTCCAAAATAATTTACTTTGTCAATTGAAATTATTTGTACTTTGGAATCCATGATTTAGATCCATGCTATTATAGGATGAAGTACATAATTAAGCCCTTGTTTGATCCCCATTTTTTAGGTAAAAAGAATAATAGAATAGTGATTTTTTAGAGAATATGTGGTTAAAAAGTAAGGAAAATTTTTGAAATACGTGTATAATTATTTTATGGAAGAATGTGTAGTTGAAAAAAAAAATGAGAAATGTATTTTACTAATTTTTGAAGACAAAAAAAATTGTGAAACTCTATGAAAAAGCATTAATGGTCTCCAAATTTGTTGGAAAAAGTCTTAGGCCCTGTTTGAGCCACATTCTTTCAAAAAAAAATAATTCTTAAACAATGATTTGACATCATTTCAACCACACATTCTTCAATAAAATAATATTACATGCAAATCTAAATTTTTTTTCCATTTTTTAATTATACATTCTCCATCAATCTACTATTCCAAAATACATTCTTTCAAAATAATGTGACTCAAACACACAAGATTATTGCGAAGACTCTGGCGAATAGATTGAAGGACGTGCTCAGAAAGTGGTGACTAAGTGTCAGAATACTTTTGTAAAAGGAAGGCATATTTTGGATACTGTGCTTATAGCAAATAAATGCGTAGACGCTAGATTACGTTTGGGGTGACAGGGATGTTATGCAAGCTCAATATTCAAAAGGCCTATGATCACATGAACTGGGGTTCCTTATGTACATGTTCAGGAGATGTGACTTTGGGGAAAAGTGGTGTCGGTGGATTTAATTTTGCTTCTCTACCGTTTCGTTCTCAGTCTTGGTTAACGACACCCCGAAGGATTATTTTCGAAGTAGCAGAGATTTGAGGCAAGGGAATCCCTTGTCTCCATTGCGGTTTGTGATTGTTATGGAGACATTCAGTAGAATACTTGAGAAAGCTGTGGGAGAAGGTTTGATAAGGAATTTTACGGTTGGACACTTACAGGTTTCCCATTTGCTGTTTGCAGATGATACATTAATTCTATGCGATAAGTAATTTAGAAATTTGCGTCAGCTACTTCTATGCTTTGAAGCGATGTCGGGTTGAAGATTAATTTGAGAAAATCTGAGGCTATTCCAGTGGGAAAAGTTGCTAACGTAGATGAGTTGGCCAATATATTGAGTTGTAGGGTTGCGCAATTGTCCATGTCATACCTTGGGCTCCCTTGAAGGGCAAGGTTTAAAAGTAAACATATTTGAAATGGAATTGTCGAAAGGATGGAAAAGATGTTAGCAGGATGGAAGCGTATGTACCTTTGGATGGGAGGCCATTCTACCCTCATTAAATCCACTCTCTATAATCTCTCAACTTATTTCTTATCACCGTTTTTCATTCCTGTTATAGTGGCGAATAGGTTAAAGAGAATTCAAAAGGAGTTTCTTTGGGCAAGGTTAGGGGAAGAGAGGAAATTTCATCTGATTAATTGGGATGTGGTCTGTTCTTCTGTAAGGATGGGAGGCCTAGGATTAAGGAGCCTTGTTTTGTTTATCAAGGATTTATTGGGCAAGTAGTTGTGACGATTTGGAGTAGAGAGGGAGAGTTTTTGGAGAGAAATCATAGGAGCGAAGTATGGTGTGATGGAAGGGGGTTGGTGCTCAATCGAGGGTCATGGATCTTATGGGGTAAGTTTGTGGAAGCATATCCGACAAGGATGAAATGATTTTCGAGATAAATTGACTTATGTGGTGGGGATGGCAATAATATCAAATTTTGGGATGATTGCTGGTGTGGAGATCGTCCGCTAAAGGCACGGTTTCCTTCTTTCCACGGCAATTATTTTGAAACCATCCGCTATGGTGAATGATGTAATAGTCATACATAATGGAAGTTATAGTTGGATTATTGCTTTTGAGAAGGGATTAAAAGATTGGAAATTGGATGATTATGCACTG